ATTTTGAGAACTTCTTGAAAGGGTTCTATTATGCTTTTTCACTTTTTCAACTTTAGTTAATGTGCAATGTTGCTGTTTGAGCATAATACATATCTGCAATGTTACAAAACTCAAAGTCCAATCTAAAAGGAGATATTCAACAAACCACTCATTCGGACTAGAACGCGCTTCTTTCAGATATTGTGAAGTCACAATATTACTTATTTAAATAAATTTCTGCCCACAGAATATGCAAAAAAGGGGACAAGACCTGGCTGAGCTGTGTGAGATAAAATGAAGAAAAAGACCTGATTTAGTAGCATGGTGTCGCCATGATGCTTTTTTTTTTTGGCCTTTCTAAGGCAGACAAACTTATTTTTAACACTGTTCCTGAACATTATAGCCCCAACGGAGGACAGTAGTATGGCAAAATTGATGCCATAGTAAATATTTACAGCTGAGTAGATGAAACTCGTAGTTATGGGAAGGAGGGCTAGAGGGGTTTCATCGAAACAAAAACTAAATAGTGCATTTGAGACGCTGCAATAATGTAAAATATGTGAAAAATAATGCGTTTTTAGAACAATCAAGCATGACAAACCCATTCTAGTACACCCCAAAAACCAAATCAAGACTTCATAAAAGGTTATAATAGGATCCCTCTAAGAATTTTTCAAGAATTGCACCTATTAACATCCTTAAAAACTTCGTAGAATTTATTTTAAGAAACCTATTATGATTTTTTTTTTGTAAAATTGGCTTCTGTTGCATTATTATGCTGTTACATTATGAATATATATCCAGTGGCATAAAATGGTCTTTAAAATTACAATAATATCGCTTATCGCATTTATTTCTGTGGCAAGATATCGCACAACAAAAAGATATCGTGACAGGCCTACTGGTTTCAGCCTGGAAGTCCATCTTGGTCAAGTTGGTTAGGGCTGGTGGACCACAGCACACATCTACCATGTTCCAAAAACCATGTTCATCACCTGCCATGACCTGATCTTTCCACACAGGAAGCACATATTCTCTAACCTTGACACTCATACATGCAGATTCAGTTTCAACACTTGTTGGCAGGATGTAAGGGTAGAGAATGGGGAAAACCCAGTGCAGGTTAGGTCATCCGTGGAGCCTGAAGTAGAACAGTTGGGGTTTGATGGTGGGTGGAGGGTACTGGGCATGGAGAGATGATGTCACTGACCACATGGCACAAAAGGATGTTTTGACAATATTTAGGTTAATTGTGCCAAACGAGCTGGCAATGAAGAATGACCTCGGAGCAAAGGCAACATGGCAAATTATGGTGCAGCATCGCAAAGACACTAATAAAACTGAAACATGAGGACCAGTGGTACTCTACATTCACAGTCAGTCCTTATTAAGAGGAGAAGAGACAGTATGCTTTCTTTCCTTAAATATCTGCTAAAGAGGCTGACATCAGGATTACTATAGTGATCAGTTGAGTAGATGCAGGGCACTGAAGTCATCAATATCACCTAGACACACTGTTGCATTAACAATATCTAATTTAAAACTGGCTCATTTTCTCCCCCTTTTCTCTCTCACACATGTGCATACACACAAAACATGACTTGATTAGAGTGCTGAATTGCAAACATGTCCATCACTGTGATCAGATGCTTTCTTAAAGGGATAGTTCATCCAAAAATGAAAATTTGCTGTTCAGTTACTCAGTCTTGAGCCATCCAAGATGTAGTAAACAGTAAAGATTATTAGGTAAAACCATGGGCCTTGGTAAAATGCAAGTCAACAGCCAGTCACATTGAGAGTCAAAAAAAGCATATACAGGCAACACAAAATTAATACATCACCCAAATCTGAAAATTTGCTGTTAATTTACTTACAATCAGGCCATCCAAGATGTAGGCGACTTTTTTCTTCAACAGAATAGTAAAGAAGATTTTTAGCTGAACCAATGCCCTGGTGATTCATAAAATGCAAATCAGAGGCTATCGGCACTTTGAGAGTCAAAAAAAGCATATACAGGCAACACAAAATTAATACCCCTGACTCCTGATGATATATACTGAGGTCCAGTGAAGCAAAACAATTGGTCTGTGCAAGAAACTGAACATTATTTGCAACATTATTACCTATAATTCATGACAAATCATTCTTTTGATCTGGTTTGTTTTAGTGGACTGGATGAAAGTTCACCAAAACTGCTATTTTCTCACTGCTGTTATTTTTGTTGTGTGTTTATTTTGTTATTGAGAAGAAACGTGCAGCATATCCATCTAAAAGTCACTGTCAGCAGTGTGGGTGGTGTTGGGATTTTTGCCGCCGCTCTATTTCAAACTTTTTTTTTTAATTACACTATATTATAGTGAAATACTATAGTAGCCTACTATATAGTCACAGAAGTCAAGCTTAGAACAAGACAAAGTACAAGTAATTGGAACAATTCAAGTAACTGAAACAATTCAAAATACATTCTCTGAGAACAAGACATGCACCTGACCCATGAAAACAAAATTAGATTTTGGAAAATGTCCCTAACCGCACATATGACCATTTTAAAAAGTACAAGCCCTGCAATGTCCCACCTCAACTTCCTGTTTCAGAAGAAAATACATCAACAAAGGAAGTAAAACTATGTTCACCATTCTTTAAAACCCTGTGCAGTTCTGCTTTTCATATATTTGACAGTTTTAAAGATATTTTACTGGATGCATGAAGATACGGAAAAGAAAACGATGTCACTTCTTGTTATTTGTATTACGGTTGACGGCAAAGAAAATAAATATTTACTGAAATATGAAGGCTAACATACACAGAAAATAAATATTTGTCTTTTGGAAATTTTTTCATAATTCAGAAATTATGAAAGGAGTATGACAAATCAGGCCACATAGGTGTTTCATTTGGCAGTAAATCTACATTCCTGTTTGGAGAGGTCTAACATGCTCAACATTCCTCGCCCATCCCTATATCAGCCAACATCCTCAGTGTGGGGTGTGCTTCCTGCAATTATACTCATCACCATCAGAAAACGTCCTCACAATACACAAAGCCTCTCATATTCAACTCACAGCCCTCCAATCATGTCAGATGGCAGCATTTGAAATGAGAAACGACAGTGTAGGCGTTCTAAACATTTCTTTGATTGCAATGCAAACAAACGTACGATTCTGTGGTCATGCCATCAGTCCTATTGTCACAAAGCAAGGCCAGACACAACAGATAAGTGCAAAACAGGATGGTTTATTGACTTGGTAAGTGGAAGACTGGAATGGGTGAGTTAAAGGCGAACTCAGGTGATTGTGATCGGGTAATTATCCTGGATGGTGACTGAAGTGACTGTGATGACTCCCTGACACCTATACAAATGAGCCCTGCCATTATGGCTGAACTATGGGCTTAATGTCTGCCGTGATAATTCAGCAGATAAGGCTGTTCTGCAGAATGCCAGCTTGGAGGTTCATCTAGGGGTCAGCAGGTCCCCTCACAGGGAGCCAGGTTTGGGTAGATGGACTGAATGTGTTTCAGGAAAAGTTCGATTGGAGTGGGGAGAACATTGAATATGGTATTGGTTCTCGCACCCTTGTTAAAAAATGACCCAAACTGATAATAATAAATAAAATTAAATAAAATACATTATAATATAAATAAATAAATAGTAGAATAACTACAGTAAAATAAACAGAATAAAAACATACTTAAATTACTTATTGATGAATATATTATAACATATATTGCCATTATATTTTAAATAATATATATGCTAATATTTTAATAATTTTTAGCTCTATGTATTTATTTCCTCATATATTTTGAGCCTTATATACATATTGAATATACGTACATATATATTACACAAATATTTATGTTGACAAATATCTTTATAGAAACAATTTGCATTTACCAAAAATGTATTTTAATATTGTAAATGTATTTTCCTGCCCATTGAAATATATTTCATATAATGTATTGTGCCATGTGAAGGTTTAAATGCAATATATTTTCAATTTGAAAAATATATATCATTAAAGTGTAACACAATTTGTAACATCATTTGCATGTACAGTATTAGAAATATATTTTGGCCAGGTTTTTTATTTTTAGCAATATGGGTTATTTTTGATGTGAGCGGCCATATCAGTGGATATCAGAAAGGATAATTAGTTTGCGTTTATGCATCGTTCGTTGCTTTAATTTTCGCTTACATTTCACTGCAACAGAAAGCAGTCTGCAGAGAAAGATGGAGTGCACAACTGAGAGAGAAACACTGGAGTGCAGATGGATGAATTGGATTGAAATACAAAGTGAGAATCTTTTCCTTTTTTTGAATCAAAGGTGCCGGAACGCCCTGCCTGTCTTCAGGGAACTGTAATGAAGTATTAAAACTAAAGTTACACTATTGACCCTGTCACTGTTTTGTGACCTCATGTTTCACAGAGTAATTTTTCCCTGCTGGTCAGTAAGACTCAGCTTGACAGTGACAGACTGAGGAAAGTTTCAGGCTTTAATTAAATTTCCATGCTACAGTGACACCAGATGGCCTTAGTTTTACAGTTACAGAGTGTTTTCCAGGCAAGTTTACAATGACATCAAAAGTCCAGCTCCATGTTACACAGCTCACTCTGTCAGCGGCTGTGTAAATGCTGGCAGTTATGTTGACCACCCTGTCTTCTCTTTGGCTATGTAATATGGGCAAAAGTTGTATGTATGACTCTCTTTCTTCTGTAGAACACAAATGCAGGTATTTTGAAGAATGTTCATGCTGTTGTTTTTGAAGTTTTGAACAAAAGGGTGAATCTGTTTTACTTTATTGGTTATTTCTGCTAACTCTCTGGTGTCTCACTGTGATGTGTGTGTATTTGTAGTGTGGCTTGATTGGTGACAGCAGGTGCGGGGGATCAGAACTCAGGTGACTGTGATCGGGTAATTATCCTGGATGGTGACTGAAGTGACTGTGATGACTCCCTGACACCTATACAAATGAGCCCTGCCATTATGGCTGAACTATGGGCTTAATGTCTGCCGTGATAATTCAGCAGATAAGGCTGTTCTGCAGAATGCCAGCTTGGAGGTTCATCTAGGGGTCAGCAGGTCCCCTCACAGGGAGCCAGGTTTGGGTAGATGGACTGAATGTGTTTCAGGAAAAGTTCGATTGGAGTGGGGAGAACATTGAATATGGTATTGGTTCTCGCACCCTTGTTAAAAAATGACCCAAACTGATAATAATAAATAAAATTAAATAAAATACATTATAATATAAATAAATAAATAGTAGAATAACTACAGTAAAATAAACAGAATAAAAACATACTTAAATTACTTATTGATGAATATATTATAACATATATTGCCATTATATTTTAAATAATATATATGCTAATATTTTAATAATTTTTAGCTCTATGTATTTATTTCCTCATATATTTTGAGCCTTATATACATATTGAATATACGTACATATATATTACACAAATATTTATGTTGACAAATATCTTTATAGAAACAATTTGCATTTACCAAAAATGTATTTTAATATTGTAAATGTATTTTCCTGCCCATTGAAATATATTTCATATAATGTATTGTGCCATGTGAAGGTTTAAATGCAATATATTTTCAATTTGAAAAATATATATCATTAAAGTGTAACACAATTTGTAACATCATTTGCATGTACAGTATTAGAAATATATTTTGGCCAGGTTTTTTATTTTTAGCAATATGGGTTATTTTTGATGTGAGCGGCCATATCAGTGGATATCAGAAAGGATAATTAGTTTGCGTTTATGCATCGTTCGTTGCTTTAATTTTCGCTTACATTTCACTGCAACAGAAAGCAGTCTGCAGAGAAAGATGGAGTGCACAACTGAGAGAGAAACACTGGAGTGCAGATGGATGAATTGGATTGAAATACAAAGTGAGAATCTTTTCCTTTTTTCCTTTTTTTGAATCAAAGGTGCCGGAACGCCCTGCCTGTCTTCAGGGAACTGTAATGAAGTATTAAAACTAAAGTTACACTATTGACCCTGTCACAGTTTTGTGACCTCATGTTTCACAGAGTAATTTTTCCCTGCTGGTCAGTAAGACTCAGCTTGACAGTGACAGACTGAGGAAAGTTTCAGGCTTTAATTAAATTTCCATGCTACAGTGACACCAGATGGCCTTAGTTTTACAGTTACAGAGTGTTTTCCAGGCAAGTTTACAATGAAATCAAAAGTCCAGCTCCATGTTACACAGCTCACTCTGTCAGCGGCTGTGTAAATGCTGGCAGTTATGTTGACCACCCTGTCTTCTCTTTGGCTATGTAATATGGGCAAAAGTTGTATGTATGACTCTCTTTCTTCTGTAGAACACAAATGCAGGTATTTTGAAGAATGTTCATGCTGTTGTTTTTGAAGTTTTGAACAAAAGGGTGAATCTGTTTTACTTTATTGGTTATTTCTGCTAACTCTCTGGTGTCTCATCCAGTGTTTGACTTGTGTGCTATGTATCTGATGTGTGCATGTGTTTAGGAATGAACAGTATGTAGGAGTTCCAGATAGAAGGACAGGAAAATGAATGGACTTCATTGCAGCCTGAGTCTCAGCTGGCTGCGGGGGTCCCCAGGATAGAATACAACAGACTCTCTTGTCTTTCTGACAAAACTCCAATGGCGAGGAATCAGCCTGATCGACTGAAGGGAACAGATATAAAGCAGAGGACAGTCTTACACACAGCTGGTGACTGATGAATGTGATCATTACTGAACTGAGGCTACTGTAGACATGGAGAGAGTTGTATCTCTTTCATAGTCATCTGATTTAGTCACATGTCTCTCTGTGTTTCTTGAGATATAGCTAGCATGGTGGATTGGCATCGCCAAGCAGTGAGGACTAAGAAAGTTTAAATTTATTCATATACATTCATCATTAAATACTGTACATGTATGCTCTTAGCGAACACATTTTAACAAAGTGACACAATATAGTGCTCAATCATGTACCTGGCAAATACGAGTGTAACAGTTCGTAGTCACGGGAAGAAGGAGGCGGGAACCGGCAAATGTTCAAAGAAAACTTTAATAATAAAATAAACACAAAATAGCACGACAGCCCCTCGCGGACGACTGTCGTGGACGACTGTCGCGCACAAACAGAACCAAAACACAAAATAAACTCCAGGCCTGGTCCTCTCTCGTCCATCACTGTCGTCACTCCTCCTTTTATGCTTCCGGAGCTCCTCCGTGGGACTCGAGACCGGTGAGTGGCGCAGGTGTCGTGCATTAGCATTTACTCCACCGGCCTCGCTCCGTTCCCACGGCTCTCGGCCCCGCCCCACTCGTCACAACGAGGAAGTGTGGCTTAGAATACACAGTGTTTTAGTGCGGTAAGTGGCTTTTAGATAATATTTCACAAAATTCACTTACAAAGTTATATAGAATAACAAACAGGCTGCTTTGCAAAACAAGGATGCATCCTTAGTGAAAATGTGAAAATCACTGTTAACATTAACAATAGAAATTTGGTGACAAATCAATTATTTTTTAGAGTTAATGTTAAAGATGAAGTGTGCTGTTATTTCAGTGTTAAAATACTTTACCCTGGCTTAATTTGCAGAGCCATTTTTTTTTTTTAATCCTGACCAGCCCTGCATTTGGGGAGGGACTATCTGTTTTACTGACCAATAGAAAATTGGGGAGTGCTCAGGAAATGTGAAAACAAAAATGTTTCAGGTTTAGTGCTGTCTAGTCAGAAACTTTAATTTTCCTGTAATGATGCTTGTGTGTATGTATCTTATCGCAGACTAAACTGAATTTTACATATCAGCCAGAACTCTTTTCATTGAATAGGTTATGTGCTGTTTAATAAAGTGCCTGTTGTTCAAAAAATAAAGTTAAGCCAGTATTATTTAAATACCAATAAAGGTGGGGTATATATTTTTTAATCAGTGTCATTTTGGCAAACATGACACAATATAACATTAATATTACACGAACAGTGTGTTTACTATTATAAAAACAGATTTGTGAACTTTAGTGGTGTCAGAATAAACATGAAACGTCGAACACATCTAATATTATTGCAATTCGATCTGGTGACATTAGTGACAAAAATTACAGATTTAAGGTTTAATATATTTTATATTAATATTAAATTATTTTAATATATATTTATGCATAATATATTTTCAATCATAATCTTCATGGTGTGAAGGTTATTGTAATAAAAGGAAAATAGACACTACTGTCCAGTGCATGAAAATGTAATGTTTATTTGTTTAGCTTAGAAATGTCGAGAAAACCTTTTCTAGAGTCTGTCTTATTCTAAGATAATCTAACAACACATCAGTAGTTCCTGATTAGTTATAATGAAAGGGTCATAGGTCATGCACGTCCACCACCTTTTTCTTGGGCAACAGAACATTATCAAATTGCGACGTGCTTTTCAATGACCACGCTGACCTGTTACGCTAAAGTGTGATGGTTATTTCAAATTATCTTTAGACTGGAAGGACCCTGAAACTCAATGAATAGATAAATGATGGTGTGTTCTGCATTTGTGCACACAGGCTTCGAGGGGGTCAGGGTTGGGTGGGTTTTCCTGGGCTAACCTTGGCTTGCTGACATCAGTGGTTACTAGGGTAATTTGGTTTAAGTGTGTGAAGCACCCAGAACAATGGACTTCCTGTGCCTGTTCGAATGGTCACTCATCTCATGCCCTCAAGGAAGGGGGGAGAGGAAAGGGGATTACAATCGACAGATTCACATTTCCTTGCGGAAGACTTGTGGATGACATCACTTCTGGCGTAGCAGACCGGGTGTGAGGAGGTAATGTGCCTGAGAGAAAGTTAGGGTCTGGATAGAAGGTGTGCTTTTCTGTTATGTAAAATGCTTGTTTTACTTTATTTTAATATTTATTTTAATTATTGTTTACTTTATTTTTGAGCATTCTTTTCTGTTTACGCACACACACACAATGTTTTTAAAATTATGTGTATAGCATAGCCCAGATAAATGATGAGAATTTTTAAATTCATATTTAACCCTATAAAGCCTACTGTATCATATTTGTTTTGCTTGATTTGAGCCTCTGAAGAAAACTCCTACACTGTAAGCGATAAAAGCCTGATGTGTCAAATATGATGCTCAAAATAAATAAATAAATAAATAAACACAATAATAATAGTTTGTGCAAAAGTTAAATAAACTCTTCCATTAAAAGAAATATATTATTATTTTATTATGACTATTATTTAATTTGTTTACAGGGTTAAATCTCAGTTGTTAGTACTTTATATTGGAAAATGTGAGCAGAAAATAAAGGCATTTTAACTTTGAACTGTTACTTCTGGCCAAAATATGAGACCATAGTCCATGTCCATCCTCTGTTGTCTTCTCACATCAAAATCCACTGTTTATGAACGGTTTTGGAATGTCTTTGCTTGTAAACGGTGGTGTACATCAACCATGAGAATCCCTCTTTCATAAAGCTGCCATCTACTTTCTTTCTCAAAAGGATGTTGTAAACTATAAAGAATGAGTTGAGAAGAACACGTAGTTTTTAATGTGAGTGTTATTGACCTTCGGCCTGCCGGCAGTAACAGCTTGCGTGTGAACAGTGTGCGGTGATGGAGCAATAACACAGATTTCATGCTTTACCTATGAGGTCAGGACCATTGTAATAGATCTTAATGCCTTCATTCAGGCCTGCTGTGTCCCTCTCTCTGATCCTGCCTTCAAAAAGGTCAGTCCTCCCTGCAGGGCCGGATTTACGCATATAGGCATTCTAGGCACGTGCCTATGCTTGCTCGTTCAGGGGGGGCCCAAACACAATAAAGAGATATATAATATTTTTGTTATACTATGGGACATCTACAACAGTATACTAAAAGAACCAAAACCCCAGAAGACATTGAGCAAATAAATATAACAAATAATAGGGTAAAAATGACAAACTATTTCCATGACTTCCACCTTTTTTATGTACAGAAAACACGCTTTCCTTCTCCCGTTCTCTCTCACAGACGCACACACAGTACAGACACGCACTCGCGCACACACACGGAGATGCGGACAGAAACTTTTTGTCAGCGCTGCCCCGCGAATTTATCAATAAAATAGTTTTGCAGCTGAAAAGCTACATGCCATTTCTCAGTTGCGAGGTTCTTGAAGCAGTTCAGCTTAAAGATTCACTATTAGTAGACGCTGCTGCTGGGAAATAGCGAGATTAAGTGCGTGTGAATACCTGCGTCTGTGCGTTTCTCAGCAGTATGAGAGGCCGTTCAAGACATTATTCAAACTTTACTCGCGCACACACTATCAAACTCTCTCTCATACACTACAATAAGGTCTTTCACACACTATCAAAGCATTCACACGCACTATCAAACTCTCTCTCATTCACTACTATACCGTCTCTCACACACTATCAAAGCTTTCACACGCACTATCAAACTCTCTCGCGCACACACTATCAAACTCTCTCGCGCACACACTATCAAACTCTCTCAGATTCCATCAAAAATATCTTAATTTGTGTTCCGAAACGACATGAGGGTGAGTAATTAATGACAGAATTTTTATTTTTGGGTGAACTATCCCTTTAAGCTTAAGGCAACTTTTTCAGTCTTTATTTAAAAAACGTTCCTTTCCCTAAAAGTTTGAGTTAGAATAGCTTACATGGACATGAGAATAAACAATAAGGCTGTGAAAGCGACTAGTGAGTAGATGAGTTCATCATAATGCCATTTAAAGTCCTCGACTACTAGTCCCATTTAGCCACTTGTTAAAAACAACCTTTTTCAAGACAACTAAAAGCTTTAAAAAATCACTTAAATCACAAGGGGGTGTTATTGATGTATTTTATGTCATAAAATAAAACATGAAAATATATTAAGCCTGTGTTCACCATGCAACTTGTTTCAGGCTTTAACCAAAAATCCATACAAAAAAACAAAACAAAAAAACATTGACTTCAGGACAGTGGAATTGGAAATGCTAAATGCTAATTCTTTTTTTTCCCTGCAAAAATATATCATGCCTGCAGCACTAAACAACTGTGAAAAAATCAGTACGGAAAATTATTTCAAATTAACACAGTATATTGAACCCTAATTTATGGACGGTTTTAAACTGTTACTTTTATATAAAAATGTTAAATGAAACAGTAGGCAATAGGCATTATTCAGCATTGAAAGATTCAGCCATTAAAAAATGTTTTGGAAATAAAAAACATTATTATTTTTTTAATCCACTTTTATATAAAAAAAATGTCAACATTTGGAAATCAGAGTAAAAAAAAAATGCAACTATAATGTTATGTATTATTGATAATGGAAGGTCGAGTATGTGCATTGCATTGTGGGATAAAATACCCAGTGCATTGTAGCAAATAATAAGTCTTTCAGATATTTTATGCATATAGAAAATATGCATAATATGCACAGTATACATACCATGTGCAGCAACTGGAGTAAGAATAGTATGGTAGTATGCTATTCTGCATATAGCCAAACTCACAACTCACACCTGCTGACAACAATATGGAGTTCAGAATGAATTCATCTAATTTAGAAATTCCTTTTGGCAGGCAGCAAACTGTAGCATGCTGTCGCTTTGCCACATGGCGATAAATTGCCGCCCTTGCCACCCGTCCCTTCTACCCCTTCAGTGTTTTCTTCATCTCCTCTATATGTCCCTATTTATGAGGCCTTGTTTTTTCTTGCCCATAGTGGAGTGAGCCTCCCCATCTGCTTTCGCAAATGAAATAAGGACTCTAATGTGATTGAGTGAGCCGTTCTCTCTCTCTCTCTCTCTCTTTCTCTCTCACTATCTCTCTCTCTCTTTGTGTCCTGGTGGAAGAGGGGGCATCCATAGACTGCCTTAGCTAATTTAATAAAAAAAAACATCAGGCTAATGGAGCCATGTGGTCTGAGTACCTTCCCCTCCCCCTTTTCTCCACCTCACTCTACTAGTTCCAGTGCATTGTGGGAATTCATTCACAT